CTGCCTTTTGTCCAGATATCGGGTCAAAATAAGATGGGTTTGAAAAAGAGGAAAAAGCTTGGAGGCTGAATAAGGGGGCTGATTGCTAGAACATGAGAACAATCTTCTCGGGGACTGAGGTTAGACTTGACACACCTTTAATTCCCTTTTTGCCCTTTATGAAGATCAAAAATATCCTGCTTTAGATGTGGAAGGAAACCAGGAATATTTCAGTGGATAATGAGGGATGCACCATACTCTTTAACAGTCTGTTCACTGATAGTGCACTGTCACTGCAAACGCGAGTAGTGCCAGCACAAACAGGCACTTCCTTTCCTCTCACAGTTGCGTCAGTCTGCAAGGCGACGCAGTGAACAGGATTGCAAAACTGATCTGGGTTAAAAAAAAAAAATACATGACAAAGAAGCTAAATTTTAACCTGGATTAAATCGAGTTTGCCAAACAGTCATACCACCTGGGCCAACACAAGTGAAGTGGTAGCATATACAAAACAAGCAGTGAGGAGGAAGCTGGCACTGCTGCCAAAAGACAAGCTTGTCTGACTAGGATATCACTTGGGTGGCAGACCTTTGCACCAAAGCCTTACCGTGAACTGCATCTCCCGATCAAACTGTTAAGTCTCCTGTAGTGCTAGGTAAAGCACAGCAACAATCCACAGCGCAGAAATTCCCCAAAACAACGTATGGGCCTAATGCAGGCGGACTTGGAGAGAATGGAAACACTGCTAGCCAAAACAGAACAAAATACAAACACTGTAGGAGAGACCAAGAAATGGCAGTTGCTAATGGTTTGGGAACATAAAAATAGGATACAGATCAAAAGGAAGCGGCAAACAAGAAAAAGGAAGAGATAAATACCAACACAGTAAGGCAGTTTAATAAACTGCTTTAGTGATGGCTTGTATGACGCTACCTTAAGGCCTTCTCCTGCTAAAAAGCTCAAATTATGGAACTGGCTGGAATACACAACTCTCCCAACCATGCACCGATGCTTTCTACCCATGGAAAATAAGTTTCTGCAGGTGGACAAGGAAACTGAAGAATTTGCTCTGGACATTTACTCTCTCCCGGGAAAGGGATACAACTAAGGCATGCTCCTTGACTTCAGAAACTTTTTCAGGTCCATCAGGTTAGATAAATCCTTACCCTTAGCAAAGGATGCTCTTCCGTTTCGCCCTAGCTTTTTGAGTTCTCATTCTGTCAGCTTTAAAGAAGCTGGGTGGTACTGCACAGAAGAGGGAGGAAAAGACATCTTTGTCGTGAGCAGGCTAACCAAGTCATAGAAAAAGTATCTTTATTGAAGACTTCTGATCGTACCACTCCATAACTCCAGAAATAAGGATAGCACTAACCACCAAAAGTTTTACCGCTATCTATCCAAGCGTACGTTTCACTCAGCTGATCTTACAAAATTGGAAAAAAACAGACCCGTATAAGAATTAAGATGTAATGTATATCTGTCAATAGCATGCTTTGAGATTTCTGATTGCTACTACTACACACAACTTTGCCTCTCACAACTCCTATTTAAGAATCAGTGATCAGTTTTGAAGGCTGTAAGTTTAGAAGGTAGCGTGGATGCAAACTAGGCACTTCTGGAGTGGGGACGTGGACCACAGAGCAGAACAACACTTCAGTGCAAGCCATCTAGATGGGGCTCACACAACATTTTCAAATGCTTGTTTTCAAAAAATATAGTAACAAAAAAAAAATCTTAAACGTTGACGGCACCTTCGTTTCTCTATGAAACATGGTCATCGTAACTCTGCTTTGATCGCATCTTCCGGAGAAAAAAAGGTTATTTATTTGTTATTACTCATCAGGATGCACTGACATTGTTTCCATTGGCAGGGTGCTCTTGAGACCCAAGAAATTCCCTCTGAGCAACACCCATCTCCTCGCACACTGCAGCCGAGGCGGGAGACAGGACAGAGAACGCCCGGTGCCCTCCCAAACCCTTGGAAAGCCTCTTCCGTAGGCAACATATCCAAACGAAGATGTACTAAGATCAATAGCGAAGATAAAGATCCTTTCTTTCTCTGGCAAATGGATGGCTATATGGGCATTCATGGGAGGAGACTAGTGTTTGTACTTTTTGTTTTGTTTGTTTGTTTTTTAAAGTTAAGCATGTCCCTACTGTGACACCAAGAAAATGACTAAATCCACACAGAAAAAGCAGAGGTCCACAGCCAGGAAGACCTCACTGAAGCAAAGCAAATATATATGTATGTATGTATGTATGTATGTATGTATGTATGTACAGGAGGGAAGGATACAGAAGGAAAAAAAAAAGTCCTTTTCTGACGACTGTTAAACAAAACCTTTCAATTGACAAAAGCAAACTTCACTTGGCTAAAAATAAAAGATGTTAGGTTAAGGAAACATGAGAAATCAGGAAAGAAAATCCCATCCTTACTTTCCCTTAGTATAAGAACTTTTCACAGAGTCCTCCGCTTTAACAGCAGAAATGCCTTCAATAGGCCAGCCCAAGTCAGACTCCCTTTGAGAACTGGAAAGGTTCCTCGGCTGTGATCCCAGAAGCCATACTAACCAGTGAGAAGTCTTGAAAATAATTTTTTTATTTCTTTGTTAATTGCAAAGCTGTTTCAAAGGCATCTACCACTGAACATGCTCAGAGCTCCTTGGAAACAAGACAAAACCCCAAACCTGCACCAATCACCTTTCTGGATCTTAATTCAGAAGAAATGACAGCTCTATTGCAGACTATCTCCTCCACAAAATGGAGAGACAATCTAAGGCATAAAAACCTTAAAGGTTACTTTCATTTTAAATTATTCGGCTCAGTGTAACAGCAGTCATTTCAATGGAATTTGGGCTTGCTCTCCAACAACAGTTTACTGTTTCTAAAATAAATGTCAAGACATGGTAATATACCAGTGCTAGATCATTACCATGAAGTACCTGCACATTTCAGCAGTCATTGTACCATTTTCACAAAATTAAAACAAAAAAATCACTTTTTTTTATTTCAAGCATAAAGCGTAACCATGACCCGTCACACACACACAGGCATAAAATGCTACTTTTAGAAACAAATATCCAAATAAATCAGTTATAAATGGGCATATATAAAAACTAAAAATTAAGGCAAGCCTCAAATAACTGCTGTTGCTTTGCTCTTTCGATCCAGTTTTTACAAAAATTCCAAGAAGTCTGTGCTTTAAACAACAGTATATAACCCTGCAAATTGAACTCAGCACTAAATTTCTTACAGGGAGAGTAAGTTTTGGATCCTAAAAGCCCATAACCACAGGTATTTTTGGTTTGGAGAAATCCAAGATGTAATCTCTGCTTTTGAAGTTTCTAGCTATTTCTTTGGAAAGACAGACAACCTCAATAAAAACTTGTCTTGAGTAGCATATAAAAAAAAATCCTGGACAAACTTCCAGAGCAGAGGCTTGCAAGTAAGCTTAAAGACACACTGAGACCTACTTTTCCTTCCCTTGTACCCAACAATACATTTCTATATAAAATGAATCAGTCACATTGGTTATATGAAACCAATATACAGAAGTCAGGGATCAAATGTATTTTCAAGTAGCGCTCAAAAATCCCTATTCCATAGAAAACAAATGTACGTGTATTGATAACAATAATTCCAACTGTTGTCAGAGGTACAATTTCTCCACTCACCACGATATCCCTAAACACAGATGTGAGCTTACTAAATTGGCAAGAAGTAGATTTTCTGATCGTTCCCAAAGAAAATCCTTGAATTTCACAGGTCTACGATCACTGTCACAAGATTTACTCCACTTAGGAACGCTGTTAATTCTTTTCAAACACAGCGATGCTAGAAAATAAACCGCAGGAAAGGAAGAGAAAACATTCAAGACCCCTTAGGCTTTTCCATTAGTTTTCTCTTGCATAAACGAAAACGAATAGTGGGCAGGGAGAGACAACAGATCTCCTGAACTCTGATTACTCTCTCCTTTCAGCAGAGCAGAATTACGTCCTTAAAATGCAATTTGAGGCACTGCACAGAGCCTACTAGTATTGAAAGGAATAAGCAGATGGGAATCTACTTCTGCAGGGAGAAACCTTTCAGGTAAAAACCAACCCCCTCCCGCCCCCCCAAAACCTGCCATCACTCAAGGTTCTGCTCTTGGGGGGATAATCGAAAACAAGCAAATCAGAAAGTTTTAAAAACATTTGACATGTTGAAGTGAGCCCCTTTCTACTTTGTTTCGGCTTATCTAGCTACCGAGAAATCTCAAAAAATTAAAAGAGTAAGCGTAGTAAATGGTTAAGCATTAGACTTCTGCCCTACCCCTTCCACACAGAGCTGCTTAACTTCCCTTTACAGAAGAAATACTGTATTTTCAGGCACACACACATTTCCACATACCTCTAAGACTACCGAGACCTTAAAGTTGTTCTTAAAACAAACTCACCCGTTTTTTGTGTAGATTAACAGAAGGACCACATGGTACAAACAAAAGGAGCAGGTGGGAAAGGGGACTGCAGTAACAACTTCAAGGCTATTTCCCCACACTGGTGCGGGGCACAAGGCTCATGTATTTATTTATTTATTTATTTAAAAACACTGAGTTTGGGGTTATGCACATGAAAAGAGTAGTTTAACAGATCACTTCTCCGAGCTTACATACACACACGCGCGTACATGATGAAGTGCCACGTGGGCTTTTGGGCAATACAAAGTGGTAAAAGTCAACGGACATAAATCAGTGGTGCAACCTAGACTGATACCCAGTTTCCTGAACATAAGGTCTCGATTCTGCAAAAATGAGAAGAGTTCTGAAATTACTTTAAGGTAATACATAATACCTACACCTGATTTTTCGTAAAGAAAGTATCACTTTTTCTGAAATTATTCACAATATATGATAGATAAAGATTCTCTTAAAATAAACTTAAACTTCTATGTTTCTTTGTTCCCAGACTTTTACATCATACTTTTGGAGTGTGTAGTTAACATTTAACCTAAAGATGGCCTGAAAATGCTAAAAACAGACTTACTCGGACATCAGTAGCATCTCCATGGCGGATAATGCTGGCCCACGTTGTCGGTTCACTGCTATTTTCAAAGTAGTGAAAGACCTTTAAGACTCGCTCCATGGTCCCTGGGGAACGCTCCATCCCAGTACTGAGGTGCGTCTTTGCACTTGAACTTGGCGTATGATTCAAGTTTGGATCGAGGTAAGCCGCTGCCATGGTTTTGCTAGATGCTAGGTATCTGTCATATTCTAGGAAAGGGAAAGAAAAAATAAATTAGCTTTAGTTATACCTAAATCTGACACTGATTCATACGAAGTATTTATTGGCAATCCTAAAGATTCATGTTTTCAGTGACAGCTGATTGCTCTTTTGGAGCTGCCTGCTAAAATAGCTACACATCTACATACGCATAAAAATCTAACAGCATTACTATCAGAGAAACTGCCAGTGTCTCTTTAAGCAAGTTATCCCCATTCAAACCATATGATAGCCACAAAAGTTGCTTCTCCGGCTTCTTCTGGCAAGACTTCTTCCTTTATTTTCTTAAGGTCTTAACACCCAGCCCCTCCCCAAAGCCCTTGAAAGCGAACATTTCAGAGCCCTTCAGTTTAACAAGCCATCCACCCCTGTTCAAGATTCACTTTGACTGCAATAGTTAGCGCCTTCCACTTTTAACAGGAGTTTGCATCCCAGGAGAGCTCTTGGTCAGCCTTGCGATGCCCCACCAGAGATCAGCATATGGAAACCCTGACAGAACAAGCACTGAATTGAAGGCTCTGCATGAAAAGACAGTACCCGTCAACGCTAGGGCACTCTGAGATCACTCATTTTGGGCTGTTTTGAAAATCAGTGTGACTCAATCAATTTAAAGCCACGCAGAAATTCATTCTCCCATCAGAAGCCAAGGAGGAACCACTAGGGACATCCACGTCCCTACTTCTCATGCACTAAGCGGCTAGTTTTATTATTTACTAGCCTGGTTTCCAAGTGATTTCCAAGTCTGGTGGTAAAAGGCTCAGATCACTTTAGGAGTCTGCATCTCAAAGGAAAAAAAAAAAAAAATTGCTGCCTCTTGGCTACGGCTGCAAACTAGTCAACCGTGAGCAGATGGTGTTTGAGAAATCAACGTACTACGAGAGAGAAAACAAGACGTTGTCCCTCCCCAGCTCAGTCTCAAGAATCATTCCAGTCCCCTAACTCAGAGGAGCAAAGAACTGCCAGGCTCTCTGTTCCCAGCCGATGGGTCTCGGACAAGTGCACTAAGGTTTCCAGCTCCCTGAGTTATCTCACCATGGAGGTCAGATAAGCCCAGAGCCGGAGAAGCCGAAGCTGGTGGGGCAGGAGAGACATCCTTTCCCTTCCAGCAGCAGCTAGCCGTTACACGAGGGTACGAGCGCTGT